TTGGCCTGCAGGGCCTGGCAAAAAAAAAAACACCGAGAAACCGCAAAGATGGCTCGGGCCACAAGCGAGTCTTGGCGTTCAAGCTGGCCCTGAACTCGACCGCCCTGCCTCCAACTTGGCCGACAAACCAACCCTTTTGCAACAGGCTTTCCACNNAAACCCTAAACCCTAAGGGGTCTATGCGTACTTGCGCCCGGATGGGAGGCCGCCGAACTTCTTCCCAAGCTCTAGACTGAAAAGACCCCGAAGTCCTGAGCTCTAAAGACAAGCAGCTAGCGGGTGCATCAGGTAAGCGCCGTAGGTAAGGCGAACAAAGGGCCTGTTGGGGGTTGAGGAGTTACAAGGTATAGAGCCTAAAAGTTGAAAGTGTAGGGATTTCAAGATAGGTTTGAACTTCGGGCTTTGACTTGGTANNTTGGTACACTTCTTGATTTGTGCGTGTCATCTTTTTTACAGGGGGTTCTGCTCATGTTCTCCCTATCGTTCCAAAGATACTTTAGGGCCTGATGCTCTGGCGCTTCGACTCCGGCCCCCGGATTTTCCCAAGTGCTTTTGAACATGCGTTGCTCACCTAGCAGGAGTATGAAGCTGGTGAAACGCGACTCTCTTGTGGCTGCGTTGTGTTCGCGCTTCTCGGTCCAGGGCTTGCACCCGACACCATCAAAACGCATTCTCTTGTCCTGGATGCTCCTAGGCCTCTGCTAAGCAAAGCATGGCCTTTTTTTGAGCCTGGCAGGGTCCAAGGAAACCCGAGAAAGCCCTGCGGTCACGTCTGCTGGCAAAAATGCGTTCTTGGGGTTTCTAGAAATTCGGTTAGAGGTCGGGTGATTAGAGTTCAAGGTTTAGGTTCACCACGGGTAAGATCGCTTCCTTGATTGCTGTTGCTGCTGCTGTTGTCGTCGTCGCTCATCTGGTTAGGCTTGAGAGGCTACTCTTAACACCACGCCGGCAACACGTGTTCTGCCAAATCTTTGCTTGTCGCTACAGGTCTTTGGGCTGCTGTTCGTGTTCTCGCATTTGTCGAATAGTTCAGACGGGGTAGTTCCTCCTTTGAGGCTGGATCCTACTACTGTCATACGTAGTTTAGCTCTCTCTTTTTGAAGGGCTGTGTAGTGATCCCACAATCTAGCTGATGAAGCTGACCCTCAACCGAAGCCACTTCTCGATCTGATCCTGGCAACCCTCACGACATTCTAACAAACCATCCATGGCACGTCCAGAAACGATGGGAGAGGAAGCTGTTGACAAGGGGAAGATGGCCTTTTGCAGCAGCAGTAGGGAGTTCTATAAGGGTTCGCACCAGGGCGTCTACAGTGCGCTGGCAAGCGAATCAGGATCTGTTTTAGCTGGAGGTTCTCGCCAGAAGCCTATTCGAATCTGGGGACGTGCGACTGCTTCTTCGGAGATATGTGATCCCAAGGACCGCGCCATTTGCGTACGTTTGCAGGTGTGCATGCATGCACGTACGCATACGTAGTTCTGTGCTTATGTATGTACATACATGCATAAGCATGCCTGTATGTGTGTCTGTGTATGTAAACATGCATGTATGTATGTATGCATGCATGCGTGTACATATTTGTGTTTATGTACATGTGTATGTGTATTTTTTATATACACACACATATACATATCTATCTATGTATATATTTGTACATAAACATATTCATATGCATGGGAACCTAAAGTTGCATGTCCTCTCAAGATTTCTACCGAAATGAGTTGAAGAGTAGTGTAGCTTGCTGGTCGTTGTACAACTGACAGCAACTTGTTCTCATGCGTGGGTATACACGATATGCAACTGTATACATGTATAAATTGTATAAATTATCCAGTATGTGTCCATGTGTACTTGCCGTAGCCACCTAAACGCCACCCGGCACCCCAAACCTGGCACTTGCTGGACCACCCTGCTGTCACAAACTACCCCCTCGTCACTCGCCACAAGATGTGCAAGATTTTGCAAGGACAGCTTGACTCGAAATCAAGGCCTCTGCCTCTCCCTTCACTCTTTGCACCCGCTGCCGCATGGAGTGTCCCACCCACCGAATGTCCAAGGACCGAATCGAAAGTCCGCGCGGCCGTAGTAGCACAGCAAGGTGATCACCGCCCATGACAGCGCCCAGAAGAAGCGCCCGAAGTCGAGGAGAAGGACGCTCTCGAAGTTGTTCCAGCCTCGTTGAACCCGAACTCTCCAATCCCGAAGCTGTCGGCCGCTGAAGCAGCTGGAGCTTATGTGCTTATCGATTTAGAATTTAGAAGTCTTGGTCTCTGAACTCGTGGAGGCACTGGCCTATGCCTGCCTCCCTACACCGGTCCCGGCGGCAGACTCTTGATGCCGGGCGGCTGTTGCGAGAGGTTCCAAAATCGGTGGACGGGATGAAAACGATGAGGCAGAGGACGCCCCCGGCGAGCAAGGCCGCCTTGAAAAAGGCTCAGTCATGGTGGCAACTAAGAATGGTAACAGTGGTAGTCGTCGTCGTCGCAGTCGTAGAGTCGTAGAGTCGTAGTCGTAGTAGTAGTAGTAGTAGTAGTCGTCATCATAATAACAATCATCATAGTAATAATAAAAATAACAAAAGCAATAATCATAACAATAGTAGTAGTAGCAGTAGCAGCACGAGTAGTAGTAGTAGTCGTCGTCGTCGTAGTAGTAGTAGTAGTACTAGTACTAGTAGTACTTAGTAGCAGCAGCAGCAGCTACAACGATGCTGCTGACAGGTGGCAGCAGCAAAAGGGATCTGATTCAGGAGGGCAGGGATTTCGTGATAATGCAAATTTTGCAACAATCTCTCACGGTGAGGGGGCTCGCCGCCAGTAAGGACAGGGAAAGTGAGAGCATACATGCCAAAGCAGACGTACCAGACACCATCAGCTTCACACGATAACAACAGACACTGATCTGTTGTTAGCATACTTAACACGAAAACTGGATGAGCGCTACTAGGAGTAAGCATGAGCAGTGGCAGCGCGGTGGGAGCAGTCGGAGTGGGAGTCAAGGCAACGGCAGTAGCAGAGACAGTCGTGGGCCTACTGTCACGAAGGTAATGGCGATGGCGAAGATGAGCTTCCTTCTCCTGCCATCCTCTTCTAATATTGCTCCTGCTACCTCTCGCCCTGCTACTTAACGCAGCAACATGACTAGAAACCACGCCTTTCCGAAACCTTGGGCCAAGTCTCCGCGGTGGTGGCAAGTGCTTGTTTCCGCCCGAAAATTTGCGACTCTCGTGTGATGCCTGCCAAAAGCGCAGGCAGCGTTCTGATCTCGGATTCTCGGAAAAAACGATGACGGACTGACCAGAGTCTCTGCAGTCCCACAGGCCCACAAAGTCATCTACAAATCACAAATGCGGGGGCAAACATGGTGACACACAGGGACGTCGTTGAATAACCGGTGTTGACGCATACGGGCAACACAACTCCACCATGTATAGCTGGCACAACCTGCATCATGACGACTCGCATGGCTAGGATGTGCTTCGCTGTCGACAAACGGCACGCGGCTCAGGATTTGAAACGCGCTGCCGAGCTCAGCTCTCTCCCTGAATTGGGGCAAATGTTCTTCAAATTCCGCCTCACACGGAGTGCTGAAGCTCGAAATACTTGCCACAAATCGTCCCATGCAGAACGAGTGCCTGCGACACTTTGTGGCAGACTGTTCGGAAGACCCTACATGTGACACATGATGTACCAGTTCTGCTGCTTCCAGACGCTTATTGCAACAAAACTATGCCAAATCCGCGAAGCCGAAAGGCTCAGGGAAAAGCCCTGGAAACAATCCCTGGGAACTTCGCTTGAGTGCCTCGCTCCTCCATGGTCTGCAGTACCCAGGCTGCAGCCCTGGGGGGCTGAAAAACATCTAGTAGTCTAGTTGTAGCACTAGCACCGTTCCCGCTCTCTCTCGCTCCCATGCTTGAGGTTCGGGGTAGGTCAAAAACCACTCACTCTCTCCTTCTGTTGTCTTGTCTTGTCTTCTCTTGTCTCTCTTCTCTTCTCAGCTCAGCTCTTCTGATCCTTCTCTTCTCTTCTCATCTCCTCTCCTCTCGTCTCGTCTCATCTCGTCTAGTCTCTTCTCTTCTCACCCCATTTCATCTCATCTCATCTCTGCTCTGCTCTTCTCTTCGGGGAATAAGGAGTGGGTCAAGCTCCCCGCGCCGACAGGCGCTCTTTCTCTCTGATCTTGTCTGCTTGCGTGCTTGCGCCCCGCGCCGCGTGCTCTTGCGCAACCCCATCCAATATTTTGCTTGGATGGGCTCGGCTGTACGTGGAGTAGAGTTGGTGCCCCCCTGTCGTGCGTCAGCAAAAGACTGTGCATGCTAGGGGAATGAAGAAAACACGCTTGAATTTCCGGACTTTGCGCGTTTGGCCGTAGGGTGGTGCACGGGAGCCGGGCGACACTTGCAAAAAACTCACATCTAGATCGCGTCAGGTCCTGCGCTGGTACTAGTCGTAGAGCTGGTCCTCCTCTGGTCTCAGTTGTGGTGTACTCCCCCGCGGCCCGTGCTGGCTGGCTGTGACGGTTCCCCAAACAGGGACGGTCCGGATTCCCCTTCATCTGCATGTCTACGTCGTAGGGCTGGCCTGTTGCTTGGCCTTGGAACCCTGCGGAGTTGTACTAGTACATATTTTCCATTCAAACTTCTACACTGGGCCATAGATCCTGACCATAGAACTCTCCTCTTCCGCCGGGTTTGAGGGGCGAGTAAGGCCCCCCCGGCCCATAGGGCCCCCCAGGTATTCTTGGGGCTTTCGGGGGGAGCAGCAGTACACGTACCACGGGGTAGACTCCACGTACCAGAAAGCCAGTCGCTAGAACAGAAGGCTAAAGTGTAGGTAATCGAAGCTGAAGTTCACTGCGGTGGAGTCCCCCGACAAGGCAAGCATGCAGGACACCATTCTCCCCCCCTGAGTGCGATTACAAAGCTCTCTCTCTCTCTCTCTCTCTACCAGGTAGGAGGCACAGGCAGCGTCCAGGCCTGCGCGCGTGCACGCACCCGTAGTCTCTCTCTCTCAGTCTTTCTCTTGCTTGCTTTCTTGCTATCGGCTTCAGGAGAACTCTCTCTCTCTCTCTCTCTGTCTCTCTCTCTCTCTCTTCTTCGCTAGGGCATGGGAGGCTCTCTCTCGCTCTGTCTCTCTCTCTTTCTTGCTTCTTCCACAGGGCGTAGGGGACTGTTAAGGTCCCCCCAACGTCAGAAGGACAAGCTATCACTTTTTGGGAAGGCTGACGTTTATCCATGTAGTGACTTCGGGACACCTAGACTTGAATCCCCCTGCAATGCCGCTGGGTTCATCTTGCAAGAAAAGATGAACCAACAAAGCGATAGTTGATAAACACAATTGCTAGTTACACTACATTGTCTCTCGGCATCGGCGGGCGTTCAGATTGTACGAAGAGACATGTCTTGCAAATCCCCCTACATTAATAGTAAGCAGCAGTGCCTCAACAAACATCGAACATCGAAATAACAAAACTAAAACACCATACACTTCGGGGATGCTACAAGTCGACATGTCGAAGGTTTACATGTGGCATGTTTTGGACAGCAGCAGGTGTCGTGGCAACACAATGACTCTGACTCTCTCTCTCTCTCTCTCGGAATCAACGAGTGCAATAACAAACGTGCAAAGCAAAAGCCATATAACCTGCTTCCCATCAACCTAACATGCCGAGGTGCACTCCCACGAAGTAGGCCGGGGCACGGGTGTACGGCTTGCTGTAAGCATAGTAAGAATACCTCTTCGCACACCAGGTAAGGCTTCAATTTCTGAAGGGCGTGGGGGATGCTGGTTGCTATCATACTTTGCTTTGATGCTTCCCGCCGGCTTTTGGGTTCGTAGCTGCAGTTTAGAGCATTCAAGGCTTTGCAGGCTTCCTGGGATTTCCGCTAATTCGGGGCATGCCCACTTAAAGTTCGAGACGTCTGCAACATCTCAGCATGCGAGTGCGACAAATGTCTGGCACCACCTCCTGCTTGCCGCATGACATCAGAGGTAATGAATATTCCGCATCCCTTCGGCATGAAGGTTCACGTTTGCGTGGGTTGTGCAATCACTTTGCCACTGGAAACCACGGCATTTGTGGTGAGAGAAAGCAACAGCGACCCCCCCGCGCCCTGACCCGTCAAGCTCGCCAGATGATGCAAGTTTGGTACAGAATGCAGGTGCGTTTGACTCTGGGTTTCCTCGCGTGGACACGGACGGTGCCAACTCAGCAGCTCCAAACACGATAGCTCCAAGACTATGACGATAAGCTACGGCTTTAGCTTGGCAATCGTAAGCAGCGGTAGCCCAGCTTCCTTCTCTCGTCTCCCCGATTGATCCAAGGATCTCGGCATAGTGCTGATCGAAGATGTACGCAGACAGGTGATACTTCGTGATCAGAAAGGCAGTGACTCCCAGCGAGATGCCAGTCAACGACCTCCAAGCATGGGTGTCAAGCTACATGGGCCCTCCCACCGAAACCGAAACGAGCCAAGCCGCAGTAGCAGGAACCAGCCCAATAGCTTGGCTCGGTGGAAGATGGGGATGATGGCCTTGACGCATCTTGATGCAGTAGGCTTGGGCGTGGAGCCTTGCAGACCTGCCTGTGTTGGGACGAGCTGCCTCTCGCAACTCTGCTCGACTGTGGAGTTTGGGGCTTCACAGGTTCTTTCCTTTCGGGCTCGGCTTAGCCGCCTTAATGGCCTGTGGTGTGGCAATGGCTCTTTAGAGGTGCCGAAGCAAAGTCCCGCAGTCCGTGAGATTGAGATCTCAGGTACGGCTGTTGAAGATCTCAAAGACGAGGAAGTCATTGATTCTTCCACACATGCTCTTGGCCCACGCGAGATCACTGAACAACAGCGTCCCCAATCCCAAGGCCCAAAAGCCCTGACCGACTCACAAACACTCCCAAGCTCTAGTCTCGCTGAGGAGCGCTCCAGTCTTACAAGTTGCCCCCCGACATCATGGTCATGTTGCGGCTGAGGCACAATGCCAACAATGAAGAAGATCATGTCGTCCCCTGGTTTCGGGACAAGCGCATGTCGGGAATGCTTTCGGCTTTTCGGGTCAACGTGAGCAGAATATCGGGTGGGAGGAGTGGGGGGACTACTTTACGCAAGCCCAAGCTACCAGTGGGGGAGCAAAATGCCGGCACTCGCCGGGTGCCTGCATCTTCTCTACTTTGTTGCCGGGCTTGACTCCGGTCGGAGGTCGCAACATACAGAGCTCACTTTCCCAGGGCGACCCTTGCAACCTGGGTATACACCCGCAGCAGAACCTTCTTTTGGATCTCGAAACGGGAGCCTTCGCCAACTTGGACATCGGAAAAAGGCTGTCTTAGGCTTTGTGGCTTCTCGGCTTCCGTGTCATAACGTTCGCTGCAGGCGAAGATCCAAGATACCACGTCCATCCCATGCAGACTTTGTCGGAATCAAACGGGATGAAGTTCCTTGGCACTGTGCTGGGAACTTTTGCGATCGACATTTACTCTCATCATGGCTCATGCTAAGCTAGCACGACAGCAAACACACTTAAATTTCCATCTGAAAGGCATGGTGTAGGTCAGCTCGGACCACCAGGACCTTCAAAGGCACACTGCACACATACAGTACAGCAATTCCGGGAACATCAGGCTTCATTGTAAGCACTTGTGCCCACTTCCTTGAAAGACTCCAACGTCTCTCCTACTGCGGCAAACGGGGTGAGGTCACCCATGCACTCCGAATTCCAAGCCTCTGCCGCCTCCGCACAACATCGCACAACCCAATCCTGGACCTTCAGTCACTCCCAAGAAAGAAACCCTCACACATCAAAAAAAAAACCTCCAGCCCTAAACCCTAAATTACTTTTTTCACAAAACCCTAAAACCCCCAAGTCCGAAGCCGAAGCCCCAAGGAGCCCGGTGCAGCGCCGGAAGATGGAGTCTTGCAGGCTCAGCGCGAAGGGGCCGGAGGCCAGGTAGGGGAGGATGCCGAAATAGACCAGCCTGGGTCCAGGGAGCTTCGGCCTGGGGTCCGCTTAGAGCTGGCACAAAAGGGGGATTTCGAGAAAGAAGAGCAACGAGAGCTTCGAAAGAATATCTTCGTGAGCATTGGCTGAAGGCAAAATGCCCTGTCACTGGCCTTTATGGGATATGCAACGAGACCTCAGGAGGCATCCTGCAATCCAAAACTAACGAACTGAAGGAGGCGTACTGCAACAGGCAATGCTTGTGAAGGTGGCCGGGGGAAACCTCGTCTGGAGCCCGAGACCGCGGCTGCTGAATCATGCATGCAACGTGCACTTAAATTGGGTTCTTGGGCGACCAGCCCACGGATCTGACTGAAATAAAAAAAGAGAAAGAAAGAGAAAGAGAGAGAGAGAGAGAGCAAAAAGGGGGAGTTAGTTAGGTAGGCAGGTAGATAGGTAGGTAGGCAAGTAATTAAGTAGGCGGGAAAGTAGGCTCGTAGATTGGTAAACAAGTTCGTAAGTAGGCAAATAAGTAGGTACGTAAGTAAGTAAGTAAGTAAGTAAGTAAGTAAGTAAGTAAGTAAGTAAGTAAGTAAGTAAGTAAGTAAGTAAGTAAGTAAATATGAATGGATGTATGGATGTATGTATGTATGTATGTATGTAGGCAGGTAGGCA